TTGTTGAGGCCCGGGCGCAGGCGGTACCAGCGCTCCCCTTCCCTGTGCGGGGATGGGACGTCAGTGCCAGGGCAGCCAGGCAAGGAGCAGCGGCTGGGAGCAGGCTCCCGATTCGCAGGTGTCTCCTCCCCCACACTGTGCTGGGCATCGCCCGAGCCCCAGAGGTCTTTCCACCCTCCATGCCCAGGTCTGTCTGCCTGGGGGTCACATGCTATCCGGCAAAAGAGGGAGCAGTGAGCTCTCCCCTGGACCTGACAGCCGAGGTGATCGCCCTGGGGAAGGGGCAGGAGCTGCCTGCTGCCCCGCAGAGAGGACTCACTCGGTGAAGGGTCCGTAGGGCAGGCGCCGGGTGTCCCGGTGCTCCTTCCACAGGGCCATGTCGCTCCTCATCGGGTACTTGCCCTCCTGCCGCAGCAGCTGCTCCAGCACCTCGGGGCTCCCAATGTTGATGTTCTCGTAATGCCCAAAGGTCGACTTCCAGATGGGGCCGTAAATGCGTCGGGACATTAGCTGCGATGCACCAGAGCACAGCAGGGTAATTGGGACAGCGGCGGGAGCAGTGCTCAGCACTGGGGCAGGATCAGTTCCTCCCTGCCCCGATCCTGTCCTATATGTGTCCAATGTGCTCTGCACGCAGCCCAGAGACCCCTCAGCATTGGCTGAGCCCAAGCGCCTGCCTCCAACCAGTGGCAATAGTAAGTCACCAATGCGAGTGAGGATCCTGTCCCCCACCCCGGGGTGCAGCAGGGCCTGCAGGGAGGTGTGCGCAGGACATAGCAGCTGGCCCCCACCTTCTGCGCTCAGGGAGCACCCAGGTCTCCCTCTGCCTTCATCTCCCAGCACCACACATGCCCCCTGAGCCAGAGCCATGCCCACAGCCAGAGTGCTCTGCAGTGGGCTCAGCCTGGGGTCCCTGGGCCTTGACACCTCTGCCAGGTGCCAGTACTGAGCACACCAGGCACCAGCCCATGACACAGCCTGGGGCATCCCTCATCCATCCTGGGGACGCATGGGGGGCCTGGCAGGTCTTCTGGGGAGGCAAGACCAAGAAGGGACAGAAGGGACAGGGCTGATGGCCATGCTCAGGGCTCTGCAAAGATGTAGGGCCATCGCAGCAGCCGCCAGCTCCAAACCCCACTGCTGCCAGCACCATCCCGTCCACACTCACTGTACTCCATGCTCTGCCTGCCCCCGGGGACAAAAGTTCCCGACAGGGCTTTGAACCTGCCACCTGATAAGTGTGGTTAATGATCAGTGCTAGGCGGTCACCGCCAGGCCGGGGCAGGCCTGGGCTGCTCCCAGGGCAGGCAGCCAGCTCCGGGGGGCTCAGCCCCCAGGTCCAGCCGACCCGCTGGCCGCAGCTCCCCCCTCCCTGCCTTGCCTCCC